TAGGTCAAGTCTGGAGATTGATTAGGCAAAGGGAGAGGAATGCATCGGCCGTTTTTTACGAGTCCGTATTCAACTTGATGTTGAACAACCATTGATGCGAGGCCCCTTTATCCAATTCCCTGATGAGTGCTCGAAGTGGGTGTCTTTTCGGTACTAACATCTCCCCGAGCATTGCTTCATTTGTGGGTGTCTTGGGCATCCTAGTCATACATGTGTTGAGAAGCTTATAGAAGGCCATCTACCGGTGGAAAGTAAGAAGGAAGTCTTACGAACTTTTGTTGGCCTCAAGGCTGAGGAGGATCTGCGAGGCCGACAGCTACCCTTTGGGGGTCGAAGTGGATTCCGCGGGGGGGTTTTGGCAATGGTAGTCCCAATTTATGAGGAAGATGGCGCAATGATGGGCCTAGTCACTCAGGGGATGCGTCGGCATCTCTGTGGGGGTGTAATGCAAGGCAATGGTGCCAGACCTATGCATGGTGGGGGGGAGTTGGAAGACACTGCTTCCTCGCCTAACAAATCGCTATATTAGGCTTCCTCTTTGGCAGACAGAATCCGTTCGTAGAGGGACGAAGAAGAGCGGGAACGACGTATTCGAGAGGAGGCATGGAATGTTGGAATGTTTGTGAGACGAAATAAGAGAGTATGCCTCTTAGGAGGAGTCGGCTACTAATATGTATGTGCAGGAGGTAGCGGAGGTGATGGGGATCATGAAGGGGTTAGACTGTCTACTGAGGATGGATAGTTGATTGATCTTAATGTGGAACATGTTACTCCTCTCCATGAGAGAACTGGTTCTATTGTACAAGGCTTTAACCTTATGATTGGTTAGGGGAATGAGCAGTTTACTGGTACCCAAGGGTCGGATCCTTTTAATCTGGGCCCTATTATAGAAAAGACAATGCTCAGACCGACCCATGGGAAGAAACAAAGGCAGAACATACGAGCCTATGCTAAGGCTACTTGAGACATGGAGGCTGTGACAAACTTTGAGACTATGCCTATACCTAATGTGAATGTCAGTGGTAGGAAGAAGGCACGACGATGCCTGAGTCTGAATCTAAATGATGATATGCTACAGGTGGTGGAGACTGGCCAAAATGGGTCTTCACAAGCGCCATGAAAATCCTTGTATGGAAATGTTAGGGTATCGGGGGTAATCTGACAGTTTCATGTCTTATGGAGCAAGTGAAGCTCCATATTCCCGACATGGTGTTGCTCTTGGAAACTAGAACTAGGAGTCATCGCTATGGTTTTCTTAAGAAAGTTTTAGGCATGAACTTTATGCATGCATTAGAGGCAAGGGGCTTAAGTGGGGTCCTTTGTCTATTTTGGAAGAAGGCTCAGCACGTGTCCTTGGTTAAATATTCAGATTTTTTTATTGAAGTTTTGGTTACAGATGATGAGAAGGAGTATGCCTGTCATTTATTTGGGATCTATGCAAGTACGAATGATAAACTTCGAAAGGCCCAATGGCTTACTCTTCAAACTCGGATCTCACGGTGTTTAGAGGCATGTTTGGTAATGAGGGATTTCAATGATATTTTGGATAACACGAAAAAGCAAGTAGGCAATAATCGCATGGAGAGGAGTATGCACAACTTCCATTCTTTTGTGGCTGATAGTCAGTTGCTTGATTTGGGCTTTGTGTGTTATCCCTTCACTTGGCGTAATAGGAGGCAGTAAGGTGGTATACATGAATGGCTGGATAGAGGGTTAGGGTCAGCTCTATGGCTCCATCACTACCCTGAGGCTACAGTCTTTCATCATGCAGTGGAAGGCTCTGACCATTCTATGCTTGTCCTTCAGACCCATGCAGTGAAAAAGAGGAGGAAAGGAGGATTTATTTACAATCCGAGATTGGGCGCTCATGAGGGTTGCAAGGCTGTGGTTGTACATCGATGGGCTAAGGAAATGTGAGGCCCCAAGTGTGATCAAGTGCATGGCTAGCTATTATGGTTTCGAAAAGGTTTATTACATTGGAAACGCAGAGAATGGAGGAACTCTCAAGTATGCATTGATGCTTTAAGGACTGACTGACTTGCGAGCTGAGTATCAAAAACTGCTTTTGATTCAAGCACTGTTAAGGAGTTGGAATTTAAGTTACAGTCAGCACTTAAGGAAGAGGAAATTTACAAGAAGTTGAAATCCATAGTGCAATGGTTGAATGAGGGGGATAAAAATACCAAAATTTTTCACACGAAGACCATAGCTTGACGTCGTCGAAATTTAATGAAGGGTTTGGAAAATGATAATAGTCAGTGATGTGAGGATATGAAGCGAATTGCATATGAGTATTTTTCTAAAATTTTACAACTAACCATCCAACACAGATCATGGAGGTAACTGAGTGTATGAATCAGAAAGTGCAGCCCCAGCAAAATGCCTCTCTGATTAACTGAGTGTACCACATCTTACCTATGCGTGGTATTCGACAAGGGGATCCTCTCTCTCCTTTTTTATTCTTAATTTGCGCGGAAGGGTTGACTGCTATGATTAATAAGGCAGAGGTGAGGCGTAGCCTTGAGGGCTTTCGTTTTTGTTCTCCAAGCATCACTGTTTCTCATTTATTCTTTGCGGATGATGCAGTCTTATTCTGTAGAGAGGAGGAAGCTGGAGTGGTTTGTTTAAAACGAATTTTATGTACTTATGAAATTGGTTTTGGTCAGCGCATTAATCTGGACAAGAGCTCTGCTCTATTTAGTCCCAAATGTCCTGACCACTTACGCAAGCAGTTGGTTGACATCCTTGGTATACAGGAAAAAGAAGGTTTTGGAAGATATCTCGGTTTACAGGCCGATTTTGGTGTTTCTAAGAAGGCTGTTTTCGAAGGGATCTGGAATTGCCTTTCTACCAAACTCATGGGCTAGTCGGAGAAATTCTTATCTTAGGCAGGCAAGGAAGTTCTGATTAAAGCTGTTTCCATGGCTTTACCGAACTACACCATGGCTTGTTTCAAATTGCCTATGAGCTTATGTAAAGAAATTGGAAGTGATATTGCCAATTTTTGGTGGAAGAATTCCAAGGACAGCCGAGGGGTTCATTGGGTGAGCTAGCAAAAGATGAGCAAGATGAAACCTGTGGGAGGTTTGGGTTTTCGGGACTTGATTTATTTTAACTTGGCCCTTCTGGGGAAAACTTGCTGGAGGATCGTCTGCTCTCCTAACTCTTTGTTGGCCCAACTTTTACAAAATAAATATTTTTCAGGGCGTGATTTCTGGTCCGTAGGTGCAGCTCATCTTGGGGATGGAAAGGGCTTGTACAAGGGTGACACATCCTTGAGGATGGTGTGAGATGGAGAGTTGGCAATGGAGAGAGTATTCGAATCCATGAAGACCGCTGGATGCCTCAACCTTATAATTTCAAGGTCTAGTCTCCTCACCTTGAGTTGCCTGTTTAGGTTAAAGATTTGATCGATCCTATCACCAAAGATTGGAGACGGGATGATGTGATACGATGGTTTACTGAGGTTGATGCAAAGCTTATACTTAATATGCCCACTAGCCCCAGAGGATGTCCTGATAAACTACCGTGGCATTTCACAAAGCATGGTGATTATACAGTAAAGTCCGATTACGATTACGAACTTGCTGAGAATTTGGACAGGAATGGTGAGCTCAATCGCAAGGGTGAAGGGGAGTGTAGTAATTAGAAGGTGCAAAAATCCTTCTGAAAAGGAATTTGGAGTTTAAAGGTAATTCCAACAATTAGATTCTTTATGTGGTAGGGTTGTGTAAACTCTCTAGCAGTGCTGGATAATTTGCGAAGACGTCATATGGATGTGGAGAATAAATGTGGGCTCTGCGAACAGGAAGGTGAGACTCAAATGCATTTATTTTTCCAGTGTGAATTTGCCTGCGCATTTCGGTTCGCTTGTCCTCTCCAATTGGATACTGCTACTGTCGAGGGCAATGATTTTGCATCCTGTTAGGCTTTTCTCAAGCGGAAATATGCAGGTTATGAACAGTATGAGGATCTTTTGCAATTACTCGCTTATGGGTTTTGGAGAATATGGAAATGTCGTAACTCTATGGTGTTCCAAGGATTACAAATCAATCCGAGTGATGCATAAGGTATAATGGTAGTGCAGGTGGGGGAATACAAGAAGGTTGTCTTACCAAAGGCTCCATTGATTAATGAGCTTCCTAAACCCCCTGACCAAACTCAACAAGTCCAGGCGGTATGGGAAAAACCCCGACACGGTTTTGTGAAAGCAAATTGTGATGGGACTTGGGTGATGCAAACAAATATGGGAGGTTTTGGGTGAGTGATTCGAGACTTCGTAGGTTGGACGATGCGAGCAGGAGGTCAAGGAGATATGAGGTTTGGGTCTGCTCTTGCAGCCGAAGTAGATGCTATTCGTGCAGTGTTGATTGCATGCCAGCAAGGAGGTTCTGTCTTTTGTTTTATATATATAGATAAATGTCGGAAAAAAAAAACATAAAAGACCAAAGGTAATAATTTGACAAACCTCAAGAACTATTTGTAATAAAATAAAATAAAATAAAAAGTGGCCCAACAAAGATAAGACGTGTGTTTCAGTTTGTAAATTCAGTTACCAAACATCATATTAAATTTAAAATCGAAAAAGAAAAAGGAAATTAAAAAATAAAAGAACCCAACTGCGGAGGAGTCCATCGCTGCAGAGTGTTGGCAGACAAAACACTACTCAGCACTGCATGGTCTTAACAGACAAAAGAATCAACCGCTCTTTTAAATTTTTCTTGCAATCTATAGGATTCTTTAGATTTTCGAACCCACGACTCTTATCTACCAAAACATAACTATTCTTTGCTCTTTCAATTCAGTCCTCCTTCTCCTTCCTTCCCCTCTAATTACTCTTTTTGGCACATCATCATCATCTCTGTAATCCGCCATTCTCTCTCTCTCTCTCTCTCTCTCTCTCTCTCTCTCTCTCTCTCTCTCTTGTTTGTCTCATTCACTCGAGAACTTGCATCTTCAATTTTCAATCTTTGGTCAACCCAATAGCTTAAACTTGTGCTTTTTTCTGTTCTCTAATTGTTGTTTCTCTGGGTCAAGGGTTCTAGGATTGTTGCTGATTTCTCATAATCTTATAGAGCTTTTGCTCTAATTCTTGTTTCATATTGCTGCAATGGCTATAACTGGAACTGGGTGGTTTTTTTGTTGTGATTCTCGGTCATTGATTAATTCTGGGCTATAACTGGAATTGGGTGTGATAATCATGGTCAACTGAATATGAAACCATTCTCCATAAGGTGATTGATCTTCTCTCTCTCTCTCTCTCTCTCTCTCTCTCTCTCACATTTGTGTGTGTATGTGTTTTTCTAATCTAGTCTTCTGGATTTTATTTCATTACTTTATACTTTTTAACAGTGGACTTCTTGAGGGGGAGTGCCTTTTGTTACATTATATACGAATTTTTTTGTTACATTACATGTAGAATAAATGCAAAATAATTAATTTCAAGAATAATGAATTTTTTCTAACACTCTGTCTTTCCTTAATAGAACCGTACTTTTTTTCTATTGGAGTTAAGTAAATTCTAGGTTCTGCATCACACAGCTTATAGTTGGTGAAACTTAAATGATATCAACCTGCATTTTAAATTTCATCTGGAAGTGATGCTCCTTGGGCATGGTTTGTTGTTTTGTTTATGAACTAGTTCTGGCACACTAATTTTTTGCTCTTGGAAGTGATAATTGTCAAGAAAAAGAAGGGTGGTGAAGTTCAAGTTTAGCAGTTGCAAATCCAATAATGGCTTCAACAAAAAATAATGTGACTTGCACCATTATATACGAAGGTACAGTCTCAGCTTTATATCTTTCTCCCATAATTGGCTATGTTCACACATGAGTTTTAAACCATTTGAATGCACCTACGAGAATCACTTCATACTTGTAGAGCTTATGCATAAAATTGTCCGAAACAACCGACTTCGATTTGACATTTCAATTTGAAAAATCATGGTATACATATTTTTATATACTAAATACAGATTTCCCTGTGAAAATCTAATACAGATCTAAAGGATTCACAAACCACGTATTTTTTGAAGTTTTCCCTTTGAACTTCAACGAAAATCCTTTTGAACTTCTTGTTTATAAGACAATCAATTCAATTAAAGTAGTTCCCAATAAGGATACATGTCAGTAGTATGTGCTAGAAGTTATATGCCTGTGTTAACACACTGCCTCATTTTCCTTCATGGTGTAGATGACTGAGCAAGAAGAAATTATTATATGGTTGATGCAGTATGAATGCAAAAAACTTCGCGGTTGGTGTACGTAAAATTATTTTCTCTGTTTTTTTGGGTATGGTTCATTGCAGTGCATACATGTACCATGTCTGCAAAAGAATTATTGTTCCTTTTCTATGAGATATAATTTTATAAAAAACATTGTGATGAATAGCCACTGTGGAAACGATGTCTACCAGAGTGATACATTAGGAAAAACTAGACAAGAAAACTGATAATCACCCTATTATAAAAGGCTCATATTTACCTCTGATAATTTTGATAGAACACAAATTTTATCCTGAATGTTCAGAATAACATCAATTTTGTCTCCTAAGTTCATATCATATAGACTAGTAAAACAAACACAAAAGTGAATTCATAAGATCCCAAAGAGTTACAATCTATTGGAGAAAGAAACCCGATCTTGTATGGAACTTAAAGCAGCCATAATTTTGATTGATTTCAAATTTTCAACAGGAATAAAACAATATGCAATAAAGTGAAGATTTGAAGAAAAAGTTTAACAATGAGGCAGATATGCAGCAGCACCTGTTCTAGATCAGTAAAAGGATGTCGTTAAACAGATTATTAAAATCGTTGATTAGACTTTCTTGTATCAATTGAAGATTGTAAGTTTATTTGTTAGATGACTTGAAAAGTGTAACTGATGTATAATGATTACAATACATCTTTTATCCCAGCAATAGGAAGCAATTTTGCTTCTGCCTGCATAAATTTCTCCCCGTATCACTTTATTTTTATTTCACATCCAACCATTAGAGTGTTTTCTTTTCATTCCTAGTTTCTACTTCGGTTTTCTTTTTCCTGAGATGGTATGTTTTTTTTCCTTAAAGGAGTCACTCACTATGGCCCCGCTGGAAATTGAGACTAGTCTAATTGTATCTGAAGATTAGCGTAACAAGTAAAAATAGAAACAACCGTGCACAAATTAATATTTATTGATATTATATCCAACATATCTTTAGCGAGCTTAATTATGTATTTGGGATGATGCTTTAGCTGATTTAGCAATCTCATAATCAGGATGAGGAATGGCAAATTTTTTGATTCTGCGGAAAAATATGCCTGCGAGTACTTTTCAATCTGGGCAATATTGTCAGGTTCAATCTTCATGTCATGCTTGTAAGTTCTATGGGGATGAATTGCATAGCGTAATCTGCACTTAATCTCTCGTTGAATTGAAAAGAGGAAATAATCTCTACGGTTTTCTAATAATTGATTTTGAGGAGATCAACACTCAAATACTCCTTTCTTGTAGTGTACTAATTCTTATGTTTTGTGCAGTTCATCTCATCATTAATTTTGTTCCGAATTTCTTTCAGATCTTTACACAAAGAAGATGTTTTAGCTGCTGCGGTCTACTTATTCTACAATAACTATCCTAGACACATCTCTCTTTTTGGGAATGAATGAGGATGAAGCCACAACTTGTAAGCTTCTGTTTTCACAATTTGTATGTGTTACCAGATTGCTCTGTCTTAAGGTTCTTTTCAAAGATAAAAAATAACGAAATAAAATAAAAATCTTAATTCTTGTCCAGATTGAAATCAAGCTTATTGCTGCACAACTGAAAAAAAAATGAAAACCTTTTTTTTTCTTTTCTTTTCTTTTTTTTCTCTATTAGGAAAGATAGTTGATATATCATTGTACTCTGTTGATGTATAGGAAATTAACCATGAAATGTCTTTGAAGCTATGAGCGTCTTTGGAGGTTCAAATCTACTCGTTGTGAAGCATTTAGAGCTTATTCCGATATTTTAAAGCTAGCAGGACAGTTAGCATACTGAAGTTCACAACATAAAAGGATACCAAGAATTACAAACCAGTTGGAACCTGGAAGTCACTAAGCAAGCCTAGAGCCTAGATCTATGGTTGTAAAAGGATCAAAGGCAGTTGCAGACTTGGCTCTAGTCTAATACTAATAGTCTTACCTAATCATATTGTCTTGATGAGCCTAAGTCGTCGTAGTGGCAGGTAAAAAGCCGTGTTTTGGTGGGTTTGGGTGCTCTGTACTTATTGCTGGTGATATTAAAACACCATGAATAAAAAATGCACTACCTATGAATATGAAAATTTTGATGTAAAAATGTTGTAGAAGACATTTACGAACCTTGATTAACTATGCTTTTCCATTGCTTTCTTATTTTCCCTCTGAAAACAATTCCTTTGGCTAGAAAGGTTGCTAGGTATTTGAATTTTGAACACTGTTTTCATATAATTAATGACCTGTGTTTTTTGTAGGAAAAACTTGTATATGAAGACTTGTCTATTAAATGGATACTTGCTGCTTTCATATAAAATTTTCTGTCATGTGTTAAAAAAAATCTTGAGATTTAGTTGTCATATGGAGACATACTACAGCAACGTTGGATTGCGGAAGCAGCTTCTCGAATGCTTACTGTAAAGAAGCGGTGGATGTTCCCAGTAATTTGCAGAGCTTGACAGAATATGGATACCTTCTAGGGTATTGATGGAGACTTTAAGAAACTGAAGCTGCGGGTTCTCTTCCCCAGTTTTACTACTTTTTATTGATAAATAAAATTTCTTATCCTGTGCAAAGTATATGTTCGTTGATTACCTGGTAACTTGAAATGAAAAATTATTGCAAAAACCAAGCCTCGATCACATGATTAGTTATTGTAGTCATTCACGGTTCATAGAACGAACTTTGAGCTCTCGATCACATGATTAGTTATTGTGAGAATGATGTGACGAACTTGCACGGCGATCTACCATAGAATGAACTTTGTGCTCTCGGAGGAAATTGCGAGCATTCCATATAAGATTCAATACAACTACAGAAACTGTCATAAGTATTTTAAGTTAATGGATTTGAGTCTGTCTTTAACACAATAATTTGCCTTGTGACTCAACATGCTAAAACGGCATCATCACAAAGCTTGAAGAACCCTGGACTTTGACTTAGCCTTTCATAAGGAATTTTCTCGAATTTGTACGCCAAGAAAGAAAAGTTCCCTGTTCAAATAGAAACCCTTCTTTTTGTTTTTGTTGTTTTGTCTGTTCTTCTTTCTACGCGCCATCTTGAACTCTTCAACATCTTCAAGTTCCATTTTTTTTTTCTTTCACCAAATTCTTCAAACTCTCATTGAGCAATCTCCTCCACCCAGGAAGAGTTTCCACCTCAACCAAATTCTCCTTTTGGTTTAAAAACATTCGGCCATAAAATTACCCATTTATGCCTACCAAATAGAAACATCCTTAAACTCATCAAGAGTTCTAAAAATCTCTCACTTGCTATAGTAATATATTGCTTGCTGGGATACTGCTGCATGGGCTAATAACTAATGTTTTCAATTACTGCATTAACATATTGGATGTGCCCATGATTCCAAATCCGACACAAATCAAACGGAGAGGAAACCTCTCCTCGTAGATTAGATTAATTTAGAGTGGCTTGTAAAAAATTTATAAATATAAAAAAAAAAAAAAACACAAATGCCAATCCCTTCTTAACTTGTTGGTCTGATACAAAGCAAAGGTCGGCATGTTTTGGGTTCGAGGACCGGCCGAATCAACGTATCATATTTACCAGAAAAAAGAGGAACCCATATGCCAAGAAAACACAACCATGCTTACAATTAATTTACAAATTACATGTATGTCATACAATATTCATTCACATACATAAGGGTTTAAGTTAACCTAACATCTAACTCTTAGGAAGTTTTACAAAAATCAATTTGCCCTCATTTTCCTCTTATAATTTACAACATTAACAAGATTAGTAAGAGGTTTTGTCAACTCGTACAGCTCGGAAATCGAGCGATATCTTCCTTTCTTCCTGCTCGGCCCCAAACTTGCTAGTACGTCATCACCATCATCATCTTCCACCTCATCTGCAAATCTTGTTGTTCTGTATTTTGAGGAACATACCTGATCATGATCACCATGATGAACAGTTTTGCCATCGCTTTCTTCTGTGGCGCCATTGTTATCTGATATTGATCCGCTCAGTTGTATGAGTTGCTCCGCTGCGTCCATTTCCAGCTCTGAGAAATCACTGCTTCCAATTGGGTCCTGCTCCTTATTGTTGTTTTTCATCTTTCTCCTCTTGCTTCCACTTGCTGCTGCGGTTTCTGTTGATTTCTCCATGAATATTTTATGTTGGTTTGTTGATAACTTAGCTGACAATCAAATGAAATGAGGTTGTAAATAGCAGAAACTAGGAAAGGAGGTTTTCACTTTATATACAGTACGCTGAGTCGGTTGCCATTTTAAAACTTTTATTTTTTATCCTTTCCTTTTCATTTTCATTTATTAAATTTAGCTCTCTTATTCACAAGGTGAATGCAGCAAAATGGACCTAAGCTAGATTTGACTCTGGGCTGTTTTGGTTTGGCCCAAGTGGTGAGACCTCGTCTTATTCAAAGGTGGGCTGGGCTTTGCTACAGTGCCCCGTGGCACTATGATCAAATCTTACCTTTTCCCTTTGGAAATCAAAAAGACCTACTTTTTTCCCTTGACCAAGATTTGTGTTCTATGTTTCCCAATTTTTTTTTAATGTAATTTTTTTTGCCAATAGTTAAGGAGGGGGAGGGCAAAAAAACTTGTATGAAATGGAGATATTATTGTTTTGCTATCTCCGACCAATCACAGACTGCTACTTGAAAAAGTTATTACGCGTGGTATATTGTGATTGGCTGAGGATAGCAAAATAATGCTATATCCATTTCATGTAAGTGTTTCTTGGGGGAGGGGGTGCAAACTTACACTCACTTTACAATGTCATGACATGCCTTGAACCCAAGACCGACTATATGGAGACAAAGCTCCTTACCACTACACTAGTGAGGCACCGGCCATTGCCCTATACCATTAACTCCATTTGTTAAGCTTGATGACATGGCAAAGGTGTTTTAGTTGTTTTGTATAGTGGGTCATTTACCCACCATTTTGGGTGGGTGATCCAGCAAAGTGGAGCACCTCCAACATGTTCTAAAAAAATAAAAACATTTCTTAAACTTTTAAAATAATTACAAACTTTACTCATTCCCCTAATCCTGACCTGCCCTTCTCTTTGTGTCCCTCTCTTCCTCGCGTAATGGCTCGCATAGGGAGGGCCAAATCTGGTCGCAATGGTGTATGGGGTAGGTGGGAGATCTGGGTTGGCTAGGTGCAAATTTGTGTTAGCTAGATAGAAGAGAGGGGGTGACGAAGCTGATTTTGAGAATTGCGACATTGGAGCCCCCTCTTCTCCAAAAAAAGTTAGCGTCTTTGTGGTATTGGGACGGTGGAGTCCTCTTTAACATTATTCTCCATTGTAGATGAACTGCATTAATGCAAGTAAATCCAAAACATATAAGAAATAGACACAATCAAAAAATTAAAATGGCAATAAAATGTAGAAAATGCTAACACATACATATTAAGTAATGGACATTTTCTTTTATTATGTTGTCCAAGCCACATAGAGAACACCGCCTAGACTTTCCTTTTGTCTTTTCTCTCTAGGATTTCAAACGTTTTCCACTATGGAGGGAATCTACAAAACCTTGTTGTTAATGAGAATTGGCACAAAATGTTTTGCCAACCAAATTCATATTCATATTTTTAATTTAATTAGTAAGCCCTTCAAATGAGTCTCGTACAAGTTGTCTCCCTTCTTCTGATATTGCAACATCATCAATTAGCTTTGATGCGAGTTGAAATAAACTTATGTGTCTCATTATTAGTGAGTTATCTGCACCATCTTGGATTTTTCATTTATCACTACAAATTCTTGAAAACATTGTGCATCTTTGCATAATATACTTCTTTGGCAATTGCATGATTTATTTCACTCCAAAAAATGCTAACATATGCTTGCATAGAATCCCTTTGAACTTACAACTACACTTCACTATATTTGATACTTTATCATGCACAAAGGTCCGTACTCCAGAGTTTGCAGCAAACTTTTGGATTTTGTAAATCCAACAATTTTCATCTTCACTTATAACATTCACCATGTAACTATTACTTTCCAAAATCTCATTTTAAAATTTGTAAAAGCATTTTTTGGTGTATAAACCAACCATTTGGTTCTCCATTGGCATCCATAATTTCATATTAGGTTTCTCATTTAAATCCCATGGTCTGCAACTAATTCTTCATGTCTCAAATGAGAGAGTGCCCTATTAAGACGAGTGACAAAATCCATCAAAGAGTTACTTTTGGAACAATAGTGCATGAAAAATGCATGCATGGATTATGCTCTTTGACTACTAGACATCCCTGTTGAAAAGTATTGCTTAACATATGCAGGAACCCATCTACCAAGCAACTTATACATTTCTTCGAACCACTCCTTGTTGCTTGGTTGACTTATCTCTAAAGCTTGAAACCAATTATTTTCAAATTCTTCTACGTTCTCAAATTCCCATCTGGCTCTCTTGAAAAGATCAAAGTAATTCTGATGGTCAAAATAACCCATCTTTTCTTGAAACTTTTTAAAAATATGCCAAACACAATATCTATTAAATGTATTTGGCAAAACTTGAGCTATAGCCTTAGTCATTGCTTGATTTTGATAAGTGATTATAACAGTTGGAGCATCTTTTGGTCCTAGCCATGTTTCTAATAGCCAAACAAATGAGTCAAAAGTTTCATTACGCAAAAATCCACATCCAAAAATGGTGGTTTGACCATGGTAGTTAACACCTACAAGTGGAGCAAATATCATCACATAACGGATTGTATTATACGTTGTATCAAATACAACCACATCACGAAAATGTGTGTAAGGTTTCCTTGCAACAAAGTCAACCCATAAGCATCTAGTTAGCCAATTATTATTATCTATCTCGAACTTAAAAATGAAATCTGAATCTTTATCTTCCTATGACTTGAAATACTCATATAACATTTCCCTTTCATCTTGCTCAAAATTTCTTCAATCTCTTTCTATGAGTCCAACACTTCCATGGCCATCAACTTGTATCTCGAGCATTTTGAATTGTTGATATAATGGAATGTTCACATCGGAAAAATCTTTTACCAAAATCTTTTTTGTATCTGATACAACACGATGAGATTTTAACAACTGCTAACTTTGTTGTACAACCTTCACGAACATTGCCTCGTTGTCTTTCTATTCGTGTGCACTCACTATCTTTTTTTTCTCCATATCTCATCAGTTTCCCCTTCCTTAAAACAAACATATTGTTTCCAAACAACCTCACATGTTTCTTTCTTTTTCTTCTCCTTACTTATCCTAACACTAAATCCAACATTTTTTGCATAATCGTTTTAGAACCTGTATATCTCATCTAACCCCTCTTTGGGTTTCTTATCGTCTCTAACTTGAGGAGTATAAAGTTCTTCTTTTGGAAATATCCATTTTCATGCATTTTCCATGACACCTACAAAGTACACCCATGACTACTCTAGAAACTAAAATTGTTGCGAACAAGAACTACAAAACAAACACACAATATGACCTTGTAAAAAAAAAAACACATACACACAACATAACTAGGAGAACAAGGAAAAGAAAGAGATGTTGACTAGGACGCTCACTAAGATTCATGACTAAAGTCATGAAAAGCATGGTAGAAACAAATGTAAAAAAAGGAAGAAGTAAAGAGCCTAGAAGTTAGACTCATGCTTAACTAATAAATCAATCAATAAATCAATCGTATCTTTTTCATTTCTCAAGAAAACATATACAGGGGGCCTAAGTCGTGATTAATTTCTTGATGCCCTAAGAACAACAAATAAACAAAAAAAAAAAGGAAGGAAGAAAAGAAATAGTGTGCATTGTGAACTAACCGGTAAAATCAGAGCTTCAAAACTTCAGTCGGCGACACCAGAATCGAAGGAGGCTGTGGGCTGCAACCTTCTTGAGAACGTGGTTTGTTTTGTCGACGGGGAGAACGTGTTTTCTTTTTTTTAATTTCCATAAATATTTTGTTTTAATTGAAATTAATATAAAATATCTTCTATGGATTTTTAAATCTGGTTTTTCTCCCCTCTTAAATTAGATCCAAGTGTGGGTGACCACAAATCCTTGGACTCTGGAGTCCAGAAGAATGGGACTGTACCTGAGTTATATATAGACCATAGTCATAGTCAGAAATTGTAATACCCCAAAAAAAAAATTAAAAGTGGACTTTCATATTTCAGAGAAAAAAAAAATATTATGGTGAAGAATAATTATGGGTATTTCATCAAGTGATTTTGAACTGAGACTATCAGATTTAGTGTGTTTAATTTCAAGTTGGACAAAAATACCCTGTAGAAAAAAATAATAATAATGAATCTGCAACGCGTAGGCAAACCCATCCTTTCCCTTCATTCTTCCCCCCTTCTCCTATTTTTCTCTTCCAAAATCAGATTGTGATATTCAAATAGGTGTGAGTTGTTCACCTATTAGAGATGAATCACCTAATCTAGGCAAGTGTAATGATTGTTTAAGCTAAGATAATATTGTGGGTAGAAGGAGATGGAAGGAGGGTGAGGAGGAGAAGGAAGAAATGAGAACTCTCCAAGGGAACGGGAGTGAACCTGGCAACTTCTGAAGGGTAATTTCATCATTTTAGCTTTTTGGGACACAAGGTAGGGTTTCCTGATTCCCCAATGATTAGACTATATCTCTCTCCCTAACCTTTTGAATCTATCACATCAAGTGAGGGTGCTAGCACCACTCTTCACTTGTTGTCTACTCATTCTCTCATCCCATTCAATCTCTGGTGAAAAGCTTTGGAGAAGTGCATATCTTTGTACCTATTTGGAGAGCTACAAGGTGGAGAATCAACATCAAAGGGAGAGCAAACAACAAAGGGACCACTCCCTTTACTTGAACACCATTCTTGGTTTCAAGATTCGCTCCAAGGGTATGAACATCTTATCTTTCTCTCAAATAGGATTTAGAGAGTCTTTGGTACACACTTTCATAGACTTATAAAGATTGGGACTAAATGAGACTTGCATGAATCCCTAGTTTATTTAATGCTTCCGCTCTTACTTTCATTTCATATTAGATATGGCATGCTAGGTGATTTATACTCTCAAAGTTTGGTTGTAGAGTTTTTAGAAATCTCTATACAACACCATTCCCACAATATTCCCTTCTTCTACTTGATATTGTTGGAAAGATTGTGTTTAAACTAAGTGTGAGGAGCAAGCAAGTTGGGTGGTTTTTTACATAGTGATGGCATCATGTAAGC